AGAGCGTCGATCCTTGAGACCGAATTTACGAACAGACGATGCATTTTACGCTGCTCACCGACTCCTGCACATTCGGGGAATATCATTCCGCTGTAATTTCCGGTTGCTTCTTTTTGCCATGGCGGTCGTCTTTGACTCGTGCTCCCGTCTTTCTTCCCCTTTTTGCGTTCCTTTTTCCACCATGCCGAGGAAAAGATGCGATCAATCGCCGCTCTTCGATTCATTATTTTCAGCCATCTTTTTTTCCTTTTATTTTTATATATTTTTATGTATTTTGTTAGTAACAACACTTTAGATTCTTGATTCGTTTTATTTAAGAATGGACATCAGTGGAATCACGTGTGCAGTTATAGCGATTAGTATGAAACAGTACATATATGTATACTCTACGAGTAGACTGACAGACTCTAGGAAGATGCTGTCAAATCAACGGCACTAGGTTATGGAAAACCATGCGAGTGTTCCCACATGTCGAGAGCAGAGAATCATAGGGTTTAAGCCTGTATCACACCGTTGGTTTCAACGTATTTACATTTTATTATGAAAATCTCTTTCTTTACTTTATTTCTTTATTTTTGTTTCTGGTTAGGATATGTATTCCTTTGGTATTTCGTATTTTCCCCGGTGTTCTTTTATTGGGTATTGCGAGGAGTAAGTTTCAGATGTGATTGAATATATTCACGCGTTATTAATTTATTTTAAGTTTATAGTTTATATGGTTTAGATACCTATGTACAAATAAAACTTCTTTTATGTTCTTTTGTTTCCTTTTTCTATTCTTGATTAGGGGGCGTATTTCTTTGAAGTTTCGTTCTTCTCGACGTTCCCTTTTTAGCTATAACAAGTTTAATCTGTAATTAATTATTATTGCTTTGTTAATTGAATTTAAATTCGTGTCTTTTAATTTCTTGTTGCTTTGGTTTACTTTGTGATAGTCGTACTTGGTGTGCAGTATAAGGTTTATCGAGTGTATGAATTGCATTTGTAAAAATTATTTCGTATATCATCCCTTTCTGGAAGTCATTGTATTCGTTGTGCAATATACTAAATATACCATACTATACTTTTTTTTTTTTACGTGGGGGAAATCTTCGAAAGATGCCCGACCTCCCTAGGGGAGGGGGTAAGGTTATGTGGGATTCTAGCCCACTAAAATACCATACTATACTATACTATACTGTGCTATACTATACAATATACTATATTATTACGTATACTAAATTATATACTATATTATTTACACAGTATCGCATACTGTAGTGCTGTAATGTTAAATATCCTATGAATGATACACCAGAAAATGAATTAATAATAGTAAATTTCGAGTAGAAATAACGGAATATAAGACACGGGAAAAAAAGAAACGCGTTATACAAGATGGACGATAAATTTGAACATATGTTTATCGCAAAGAATATACGAATCGTGATAGATAAAATGTGGTACGTGCCGATTGATGTAACGAGGTACAGCCTAGCAAAAGAACAAAGAGTTCCATGTCGCGCGGGGTCAGACAGTAAAATTAATGTTCAAACTGAAGGCTCATAAATTGCGGTTTAAGCCCGAGACGAGAAAAGTATTGTGAAGAACTGTGGGCGACTGGAGGCCAGCCTTAAGTCGTAAAACGGAAATACACGGATTCGTCTTGGCACAAAAGCCCGCGTAATGCGAGTGAAAAGACGATGGGCGACCCGGTTTGCGTGATCAACTGGGCCATTGTTTAATTAACGCCTGCATTTCATCCGTTTTGCTCTGCTTTTTCTACGCCTGAACGAGGAAGTTGATATGAATGAACGACAATTGTAAGAGAAACGAAGTTCTGCCAGAAATAAATAATTCTGGTGATAATATATGCACCGTAAATGTTGTATGTATCCTTGAATTATTCCCTATTACAGCGATGTTATTTTGAGACCCCCATTTTATGTACATACGTGCCTGTGATTATGAAAGTGGTCTAAGTCACTTATATTTGCTTCTGAGATATTAAAAGCTTCGACCTATAAATACGTCATAAATTATAAAATTAATTGCGATAAAGCTACAAACTCAATCTAACGGTTCAACTCCTCACTGCTTTTGCTTTCACTGCTCATCTTGTTTTGGATACTTTGATTTAATCAAATTATTTTACATGTGATACTACTAAAGTGGAAAGTAGAAATAGCAGTGACTGTGTATTTTATTGATAACAGAATTTCAATAATCGAAAAATAAAATATGAGTTACACGATTACTCTTTCAAAAATAGTATTACTAGATATTGAGTTAATCATTTAAAATTATTAAGTATTATTCTTTAAATTTTATTCTGCAATTTGGTACTAAATCTGTGTCTATATATATATATAGACCAAAATATTATAGGTCAATGAACTCACCCTGAAATGCATTATCTGCTTAGATAAAATAGAAACAGGAAAATATATATATAGTTCCATTAAAAAGTAAATTTCAGAAATATGTCCAGCTAGCAAAAATGTATGACCCCCTCTGCCCTTAAAATACAGTTTGTTTTTGAAACGAACTATAGTTTAGGAAATAATTAAGTGTGAAGGCTCAAATGGGACACCCTGTATGAATATTCTAGTATTCTGTAGCATCAAGCAATTGAAATTAAAGGTGTTTCACTGATTTGTATTTCATTTTTGTTAAATGAAAATTGCAATAGTATAAAAGCGACTCTGTTGCGTGTTTGCAGAGGCATCCTGAAGGCGTTGCACAGGTAACATTTCGGGAGCCAGCTGAAGCACAGGCCTGTGTTCAGTTATTGAACGGTCGTTGGTTCAGCCAGAGGAAAATATCGGCCGAAATCTGGGACGGCAAGACGAAATACAAGTAAGTTTACCATCCTCGTTGCTTTACCATCCCCGTTCTCGGTTTTACCGACTCAACCAGCCTGCTTCAAACCTGGTCGATACTTGACCGACCTTCGAGTCTCTCGAGCCGCTAACTTTCCCTTGGATCCGTTTCTTCTTTACTCCGCGAGCATGATTTACCGACGCAGGGTCTGTACATCATGTAGGAATTTATTTCCAAAGTTAATTATTTTTTCTCGTGAGAGAAATTTTATTTTCCATAACAATTTCACATTTATGTCAATTTTTCCAATCGTGGATATTGTCGAGCTTTTTAATTTTTATTTTATCGTGACATATTATTTCTATTTGTAAAATTTGTTGCTTTTATTATATTTTTTCTTTTTGTTTATTTTTATGCTATACTTTTTTTATGAACGTATTATTTATTTAAGTTCTAGTTTATATACTACGGTGTATATAATGTGTAATAAGGCATATTTCTGTAGAATAAATCTCACATTTTACCACGTGTTGATAATTTATTAGCAATTTGAAATATGTATCAATTTATTTTATATTTATAATTGTTAGATTTATTTCAATCGACGAAAGTTTTTGTAATATTATTTTTAATATTTTTATTCAATAATTTATCGTAAATGGGATTCCACATTATCGACACATATCCAAAATATCTCTTTTATTTTTTACTTTTTTTTCATTCAATTTCTTTCCAATATTGTTTATTAAATTACAGCTTTTTTTAATACAGAATGTATTTTTTTATTTTAGTCATCACCAGTTTCAATTCTTTCAGAAATTAATGATACCTATTAACAGCATGCATGTCTTATTGCCTTTCTATATTGCTTATTTTTATTTTTTATTGACACAGATTCCCGCCTGAACCACTGACCTCGAACCCTGTTATTTCAACAATTTTTCCAATATTTTTCAACTTACTTTCCAGGAACCATCCTTCGTCTCCAAACATTTTCTAATTTCCTGGACACATACATTTCAAATCGTCCACGATGACTATAATAATCACTCGCTCTTCCAATCTGACCCGAGCCAGTATTTCAAATTTACTTTTAAGATCTTCCAGCTTTGCTGAACAGATAATCTCACCTACGCTTCTTTATCGATCCTTGATTTACCTGTGAAATAGGTCTTTCAGTCCAAGAGCAATCCAATTACCTACTAAATGAGCCAAGCATGCAGAGCCGAGCAAGTGGAAGATAGCACTCGTCAAATCGAATTCTCTCTTCTTTTCAGGATTCTGGAGACCGACGCTGAGATCGAGGCCAGGATCGCCAAGTGGGACAAATATCTGGAGAACGAAGAGGAAGATAAGCAGCAGAACGTTGCGAAGGATGGGAAGCTTAAGGAACAGCAGAAGCCAAAGGGGAGGCCTGTGGTGCCAGAGAAAACGGAAGTCCCTGGACCGACGGTGAAGACGTCGAAAAAGACGGAAGTTTCGCAGGAAATTAACGCAATGGCGCATGCAAAGGCGCTCGCGGCCGCGGAGGAAACCGATTCGTCGTCGAATTCCGAAGACTCGGACAGGGACATTTAGAGAAATCGAATAAATTATGAATTCCAGTGGCAGACGTATGGCGGAGCTTGGACTAAGTTCGACACAACAAATTGCTTTAAACGAGAACTATGAAGAGTAACGAAGACGATCATGATTAGATCAGAGTAATTTTCGTAGATTACAGGGTGACTTGTAAACTCGTAACTTGTTGACCATCCAAATATTATTGTATTATATAGATACGTAATCATGTTGTCGTTACTCCGATGCAGTGAAATAAAGGAGAATAATTTTCTCTGTAATTTATGCTTCATTGATTCCTCGTGTATCTGATTCTTCGTTTCTTTCGTATTTCGATGGGTTTTCATTTTTCAAACAATTCATATCTAACGTATTCGAGAAATTTTATGTTTGTTTTATAGAAATGCGAGGAAATTTGTTTTTCTTTGTGTATTTTAATTATTTTTATTCATACGATTATTGTCTCATCTTCGTTTAATGAAATTTAGATTTTAGAATAATCCTCGTTACCCCAGCTCGGTTTCTTTAGGTATTTTCTAATTATATTTCTCAGATAGAAATGCTCATCTTTAATTTATAATTTTCTTATCTAAGCAGTCCTTGTTGCACAGGTGAAACATGACTGAGGAATTCAACAACGTCGTTCGAGATATTACTCTAGATACACTGTAGATAAGGAGCAATCAACTTCGCATATTTTTAAGCAGTAATTTTCACTACCCATTTCTGCTATCTTAAAATATCATAAACAACATCTGTATTATTATATTTACCTAACTCGTGCAGCTATTATAATTAGGAAGAAGGATAAAAATCAATTCTTCATACTTGGAATTGTTAAATATAAAATATATGTTATTTAAATATTCATATAACTGTCTTGTATATCATAAGATAGTAAGCATGTGCAAGTAGTTTTAATAGCTTCTAAACAAATTATAGAGCAAGGTTAAAGAGTAAAATCATTTACAGTATATTCTATCAAACGTCACAAAGAATTGAGAACGTTTTCGAGAAAAGGATCAATTGCTCTATTTTAGAAGTCTTTTCTTTATGAAAATCAATAAATTTCAATGTATCAAAAAACATTTCCCCAAAATTTAATGTTAATGCTTCGACAATCAAGATAAATGAATTTCTTTCGGCTTATTCGTTTATCCTTGGTCTGTATTATACTTAAAACTTCTGATGGGGTGTACTCATTTCGCCATTTTATCTTTATATTCCCTGTTTTGATAAATCGACTATAACGAATTGCTACATGTTTAAAATTCCTCAAAATTTAAAATTTAACTGTTTATATTTGAACGATGACTCACAGTCGCCATTTGTTTTAATACCTTGAAGCTTAAGTACCGAATATGAAGTAACAATTAGTTTTGATATAACTACACGTGAAATATTGAAATCAAATACACAAGTGCTAGTATAATATGCATCGAGCTTAGAATAATATAGAAACCTCTTAGAAACTCCTCACACGATGTACTCATTCCGCCATTTTATCTCCATAACTCCGTCTTTGATAAATCAGTTTTAATAAATTTCCTTCTGTCTGAAATTCCTCAAAATATAAAATTTAATCCTTTATACTCGAACGACGACTCTCAGTCACCATTTGTTTTAATACCTTGAAGCTCAAGTAACGAATATGAGGTAATAATTAAATTAGAAGTAACTACACATGAAACATTGAAATGTAATACACGTTACTTTTTCTCTTATTCTAGCATAAGTGTTGGAATAATCGTTGCATCGAGCTTAGGAAAATATAGAAATTTCTTAGAAACTTCTCACACGGTGTACTCATTCCTCCATTTTGTCTCCATGGCCCCTTCATTGATAAATCGGTTTTAATAAATTGCCTGCTGTCCAAAATTCCTCAAACTTGGAAATTTAATAATATACAATTAGGACAAACATAGACAGCTCCTCGTTTACTCGCATAAACTTAGTCTCTATCAGAGTATAATAAATGGAACTAAAATTCCTCCATTCGCCATTGTCATTATCAAACGTCCTCGATTAACAAATCTCGCACCCCAAAACCGATTTTTAAAGAAAAAACAAAAAAGAAATTCCCAGAAATGTCTATATTATGCAAAACCTTCACCCCAAGTCCATTCCACCCTCATCACCGAATCTCCAACATTCCATCACCCACCCCCACTTGCATTTGCACCCCCGTTTAACCTAACGAGCCCACAGTTTCATCGAAATCATGTGCACGATTCGTCGCGGCGATCCGATAGGACGCGAACGTGGAATTCCATCCTTTTGAAGGGTTTCAATGATAGATTCGAACCGGTCGGTTCCCATCGGCGATCACGGGGCTGCTCCTGCCGCCGCTTCGCGGTTC